TTCAGGAAGTCCCTGAAACTGATCAGCTCCACAAGGCTCCTCCCTTCCCCAAGCATATGTAAGTGGTAAGGACAGCACTTCCTGGAAGAAAAGGTGGACCAGCCAAGCTGCCTGAAAGAGGCTCGGATCAACTGAGCTATCTGGAAAGGACATTCTTCAACTTGTTAAGCTTCCTGTAGGCTATCCACTTGTAGCTTTTGTGAACTGTCACCATGCTGGAATGGGCTTTGGTGATGTCTGAAGTCATTTCTGCTCGTGTTCCTGCAAGTAACCCCACTAAAACTCATTGGTCCACCAACTTGGACTTCGGTGCTGTCCATATTTTGGTCTGTCATCAGTTCCCTTTCTGGGGGGAGTGGGCATTTGTTCACATCTCCCAAAGGACAGTGTCACATGACACTGAGACAGGAGGTTGCTTGTGAGTTTGAGGCAGACATGGTCACACACTGAGGCCCTGTATCAAATGGTGGAGAAACCGAAGGACAGCTGTAGACGAAGCCTAGGTGTGGAATGACATGCACATGGTGCGGGCCATGATGTCGCTGTTGGTGGTGACACTAAGTAGTTACAAGTCGTACTGCCTGATGGCAGAGCTATGGAAAGCACAGGGTGTTGGGAGCACTGGTCTGGGTGGGCATATCTCAGTTCCTCTGGAAAGATCAGAGGGCTTCTCAGACAGCCATATTACAGACCTGAGCTTGATTTCTTCTGTTGTTTGTGGGTTTGTTTGCTTATTTTTGCTTTGCTTTTTTTGAGACAGAGTTTCTTGGTGTAGCTCTGGCTGTCCTGGAATTTGCCAGGTAAACAAAGTGAGCCTCAAAGTCAAGAGATCCATCCACCTGACTCTGCCTCCTGAGTGCTAGGATTAAGGGTATATGTCACCATGTAGGGCAGACCTCAATTTTCTAGTTCAGCAGGATTAAAGGCCAGCCACCATGGCCCTCTGACACATTTGTAAAGTCCTGCTTGAGAGGTGTCATATGGAAACCCTGATCTAGCCTCCAGCCCGACTCTGGGCTTCTCCCATCAGGGGGGAAGATGCTGTGGGCTTCCTCCTCTGGCTGATCCACTATCAGCTGCGGATACCTCGGGCTCCACAGTTCAGAGCAGGCTGATCTGAGCCATAAATCACACTGGAAGGCTTCCTCCTTCCTCTACCCCACCTCCACCAGCCCTGCTCATTTATTCAGCTTAAAGCAATAAAAAGCTTGACTGCAGTAAGCAGTTTAGAATGGAAAATGCCCTTTAAAGAGAAGAGAGGATATTGATTTGAAGAAGAGTGACCTCTAGCTCAGGGCCATTCATTCATGTTTTTAATGAGGAAGAACATGTGACCCAGGCCAATCTGGACAAAACTCAAACCTGGCTTCAATGGGAGTCTTCCTGGAAGCTAAGGACTGGCAGTTCAGGACTCAGTTGTCATTTTCAAATCTGAAGGATTGATTATTTACTCGTCTACAGAGAGGGCCTCATAGCTCACAATGCAGTTGAGGCTGACCTTAAACTCTGGTCACCTGCCTCCACCTCCTAAGTGCTTGAGTTACAGGCATGTGCCACCATGCCAGGCCTGACTTAAACATTTGTGCTGCCAAGAATGAGTTGTTAATAAAATATTCGAACATAAAGTGTCTTGTTTACTTTTAAATTGAAATTATGACCAAGAAAATTTATAAAAGAAAGCATTAAATTTGAGGTTCACTGTTCTAGAGGGTTAGTCTGAGACCATTGTGACTGGGAGCATGGCAGCAGGGAGCAGGCAGGCAGGCATGGTGCTGGAGCAGTAGCTGAGAAAACCACCGTGAGGCAGAGAAAGAGAGCTATCTAAAAATGGTGTGGGCTTTTTGAAACCTCAAAGCCCACCCTCCATGACACACCTCCTCCAACAAGGTCACACCTCCTAACCCTTCCCAAACAGTGCCACCAACTAGGGTCAAAGTATTCAAATATATGTGCCTATGGGGTGGGAGGAGAATTCTCATTTAAACCATCACAGAAAGGGCCCTGGAGGAGCTCACCATGGGGACAGCATTTCGTGAGTCACTCAACAGTGCTGCACATTCCCACTCAAGCCCTGTCAGTGGACCGTGGTTTTCACTCCCAATCTTCAAGGTCACAGAGCTAGTGAGGTTCTCTGACTAGACTCCCACTCATAAGTTTTGGATAAAACCTGCCATCCTTCCCTCCCTACAATTATTCCCCCCCCCCCCAGGACGGCCTCTTCCATCTTCCTGCCTCTGTCTCCTGAGCATCAGAACTACAGGTGTCACCATGCCCAGCCTCCTTGGGATTGTATGTGTGTGCGCATGTGTGCATACATGTGTGCACTTCTGTGTGTGTGCAGGGATGAGAAAAGGACATCACCTATAGAAGGTGTCCTATTCGTCATTCTTTGTCTTACTCCCTTGAGTAGGAGTTTCTCACTGAATCTGGAACTCCCTATTTTTCTTTTCCTAGCCAGCCAGCCCCATGGATTTTCTTTCTTCCTTTTTCTTTTCTTTTCTGTTAAAGTTTTTCGAGACCGGGTTTCTCTGTGTAGCCCTGGCTGCTGTCATGAAACTCACTTTGTAGACCAGACTGACTAGCCTTGAACTCACAAAGATCTGCCTGCCTCTGCCTCTGGAGAGCTGGGATGAAAGGCTTGTACTACCAATGCCCAGCTCCCATGCATTTTCCTGTCTCTTCTCTCCTTAGTATTGAGGTTACAGGTGCATGAAGCCACATCTGGCTTTGTGCATGGATGCTAGGGATCTAAACTCAAGTTCTCACGCTTGTACCCACTGAGCTATCATCCCACTTCCCCCCTGGGATTGTTAATATATATAATGGGGGGGGGGCGCTTTAGAGAAGGCTCATCAATTAAGAGCTCCTCTACCAGAGGACCGAAGTTCAATTTCCAGCACCTACATGGTGGCTCACAAACATCTGTTCCAGAGGACCCAACGCCCTCTTCTGGCCTCCAGGGGCAATACAATCAGACAAAACACTAATACACACAAAATGAAATAAAAACAAATTTAAAATACTTTCTCTCTTCCTACCCTCCTTTCTGTGTGTTTTGCATGTACCATGGCACATGTGTGGAGGTCAGAGAACAACATGCAGAAGTTGGTTCTCTCCTGCCACAGCGGTGTTGAATTACCTCACTCAGTAGCATATGCCTTTACTTGCCAGCTCCTCCCCTGGAATTCCCGAGTCACATCCACAGTAGGGATCACTGAGCTATTGGTTTGTTTTTTACTTCACTGAGCTATTGGTTTGTTTTTTACTTCTTAGAGATCTGGGCATCAGACCCAGGGCTTGGGACATACTCTACCATTACACTGGTTCTTTAACTGTTGGGTTTTTGGTTTTGTTTTGAGACATGATCTTGTTATGTATTCCAGTCTGGTCTTCAGCTCATTACCTCCCTACCTGTCTACTAAGATTATAAGCATGCACTTCTATGCCCAGATTAACAATGAATTCTATTTTTACTAAAGTTAGTGGTATCAAGAATAACAGTATATTATCTACTGCTTTTTGTTTATTTTTATTCTTTATTTTTGTACTTTTTATTTTTATTTATCTCTATGTTTGTTTGTTTGTTGAAACAGGCTTTCTCTGTGTAGCCCTAGATGTCCTGTCCTGGAACTCTCTTTGTAGACCAGACTGGCCTGGAACTCACAGAGATTCCCCTGCCTCTGTGTCCCAAGTGCTGGAATTAAAGGTGTCCTGCATATTTTATTTTTTACCACTAGGTATCAAACACACTAGGCAAGTGCTCTACCCACTAAGATACTCCTAGCCCTTTATTGTTTTTAATACTTTTTTTTAAAGAAAGGATTTATTATATGTGTTTGGGTGTTTTTGCCTACATATACGTTTGTACTACATGAATGCAGTGTCTCTGGAGACCAGAAGAGGGCGCTGGATCTCTGGCACTGGAAGTACAGAAGGTTGTGAGCTGCTATGTGGGCCCTCGGAACCAAACCCAGGTCCTCTACAAGAGCAACGGATGCTCATAACTGCTGAGCCGTCTCTCTAGCACACTTTTAAATACATTTAATTTTCTTTTACTTATTTATTTAATGCAAGTGTCTGTGCCCTGTGACAGTAACAGAAGACGCCCACTGAACGTTTCCTCTGAACCACATACCACACATACCTAATTCACTTCAGGTCACTCTGCCTCCACCATAGAGGGACTGCCCTCTTTTCTATTGAAGAGACTTGGAAACAGAGGCTCACGGCCGTGAACTAAGTTCATACAGCTAGACAGGGCTTTGCACACAATCTGTCTGGACGTCTGGGTACCAACAACACTAATGAGCATTTTCTGGAGGTCTTAGACTATAATCAGTATAAAAGACAGGATTTGAGGCTTTGAGTTCAGAATTAGCACCATGACCTCCAAACAAAACAAAAACACAAGCAGAAAGACAAACAGGCTCGGCTTTATGACATATGTTGGTTCTGCCTGCTCTTTGACATTGGTTATTTAGACGCTGTGCACACTCACATACAGAGAGAGAGAGAGAGAGAGAGAGAGAGAGAGAGAGAGAGAGAGAGAGAGGCACCAACCAGAGAACAAGAGAGTATATTGACATCTATTAAAACTTGTGCGAATAAACAAATGTGTATTCCAGATGCCACTGTGCTCAGAATTGATTCAAGCCATACTCCAAAGAAATGCAAAGAAATAATCCTTCTACCGCCAGCAAATACCACCCTCCGGTCCCTCCGGCACTTAACTCCTAAGCTGGTAGAAGGGGTTTGACCAAGTATTTTATAAACATGGATGCCTTCCGAAAGGAGCCGAGCCTTCGCTGTGACTCCTAGGCCGACTGCTCCAGACAGTGGTCCAATCTCAGGAGTGATCCCTCCCAAGTGACAGTCATGCCACACCACCCACGCCCAGCCAGGAAACACTAGGCCGCAGGTGGGTTTTGTACATCTTCCTTCTAAGGTGGACGAGGCCTGAGGCCAGGCCCATCCCTCCCTTCCTTGACCCCCAGCCTTACCCTGCAGTACTCATCGATGGGCTTCAGCCTCTTCACCGCCACGTCCCGGATGTGGCTCCTCCGGAAAAGGATCTTGCCTGGAAAAGAGAGAGTCTAGTGAGCAGAGCGGTTTTGGCTGAGGTGACTGTAAAGATCCTCTCATCTCCACACCTCTTGGATTTCCAACTGGTCCCCACCTACACCACCTCAGCCCACTGTCAACAAAGCAAGAGAGAAGCTCTCACCTCTACTGGGGGGCAGGAGGCGCCCAAGGCTGAGGGCCCATGGCCTCTCCCTGGAGGCTGCCATCTTGGGCATCTATGAACAACCTGGTCACCTCACCTTGTCTGGGTCTGTGGCAGGATCAATGCCCAATGTTAGGGTGTGGTTTTCTAGTGACCTCACACGTACATTTGAGAAGAGGCCAACCCATGTGCTATGTTTTGTCTTCTGGCCCCACCTTTAAAGATCAGCATTCCTTTCTGGTAGCCCGGCAAGGGTTCCTATTCTTAGCTTAGGTGGGTGGCTATTTCCAGGGTGAGACAAGCAGCTAGGAACCATGGCTGTTCCAGTCGGACAGTCCCCTGGCCTCTCTGAACACAAACCCTTCAGTCATTCAGACTGGGACATTCCACAACAGGTATGGGCAAGACTGACAGGAAGTCCCGGTCCCTCAGGTCTCGCTCAGTCATGATGAACAATTCGGTGTGTTCAGTCATAACAAATGCCAACATACGGTCCTGTTCAACCATAAAGACGTCAACACATGGCTCTTTTCCGGCCTAGTAAATGCAGCCGGTTCTACCCCCACAGTCCCCATGCTGGGGACTGAACCCAGGACCTCACATATACTAGGTAAATGCTTTTGTTCTTTAATGATATGATGTTGGGGTCCCCCAGCGGCCTGCAAGCCAGGCAGAGGCTGCCGCCAAAGGGGTGCAGGTTTCCCACGGCGAGCGGCAGAGCTGGTCCCGCCATGCGGCCCAGAGAGCAGGCGGACGGGTGCGGCAGATAAAAGACTTACAGGACATAATAAATAGACGGAAGGCTAAACATAAGGGTAAACATTTATTACTTAAAGAAGAAGGAGAGAAAGAAAGGCAGAAATAGAAAAGAGGACAGAGAGAGGAAAACTTGTGTGCACACGCCAAGAGAGAGGGACAGAAGAGAAAGCGTTAAGATGGCGACCAGGAAGTCAGAAGTGGCTGGAGTGGGCGTGGCTTGCTCTTAAAGGAACCAGACCCAAAGGAATAACAAATGCTCCATTACTGAGCTGCACCCCAGGCCCAGACTGTCAAACTTAGAATCTGAACTCACTAGTCTGATGCTCAAGGCCTTACACATGGACACTTCTGGGTCCCAGTAAGGGTCAGCATGTGGGGTCAGTGTCCACCCCCTTTTCAGAAGGCCTTGCTTGAATATGACATGAGCTAGGAATTATCTTTCTCGTTCTGAAATATCCACAACGCATGACCCATTCCTAGGGCACCTGGCTCACCCTTCTGCCGGTGATAGGATAGGTGACAAGACACACCAAGGGACCTGCGGAGCCAGTAGTTGACAAGGGCACCTAGAGCTGTGACACCTTCTACTGCCCCACTGTCCTTTGGAGACAGCCTCCTCCATGTTAGGCCTTAATGCCAAAAAGGCTAACCACACCCCCTGGCAAGAGGTTAGTTAGCACGTGGCACGGTGATTGGCTGAAGCATGGGCGGGACCCAGTTTGAGCCAATGAGGTTCAGCCTTGAGCCTTCTCTTTCCCACAGTGATTCATTTGGCTAGATGAAAGCCTGGCGCCCCTAGTGGCCAACTTTATTATCGCTTGAGAAGAAAATGGAAGAAGAGAAACAGCCTGGCACAGTATGAGCTCAATAAATGCTTCTGAAGTGACAGACAGCCACGAGACCACTGGTGAGGGGGCTGATCCCTTTGCTACTTCAGTGATTCACAGTGCTTCCAGAGAGGCTTGGGTAGCTGACCTCCCTGCCTCCTATCACCGAAGCTGCACCTGGGCACCCACTGTGCCACTTCTGGCTAAGAGGCCTCCTTCAGGTAGAGTCCAGCTGTTTCCTCAAGCAGCCTTTGGCAAGGAACAGGGAATGTAGGGGACCTTGGGACCTGCAAGAAGAGGCTGCAGAGGCCTCTGACCTCCCGATCACCACAGTGCAGGTCACTCTGCATAGGTGGGACAGGACCGCCAGAACCCTGAGCCAGTGTGGCCGGCTTCACATTCACACAGCTCACTGGTTCACGCTGGGAGTCTTGCTCCACATCTGGTGGGGCACAGCTCATCCCCCACCTGCTCCCAGGACCCACCTAGCATGGGCTGTCACCCAGTAGGTGCTCCAGTAAGAACCTCCTGGGCACACTCACTCCCCATCCCTACCTGAGCATCCGCCCCAAGCTTCCCTTCCCCCATGCTCTTGAGTCAAATGTCTGGCCACTTGCAGATAAGAACTCCAGCACGGGGTTCCCTTGCTAAGAAGCCAAAAGGTGATTCATTATGAAAGAGTGATACTTCCTCATAGGGGAAAATGTCCTCCATGTCCCTGCCTTTGGCTTCTTATCCTTTTTGGTTGTCTGTCACAGATTTATATGTGTGTGTCTGGCTAATGTTGTGTAAAGTAGCCTTTGTCATTAAGCTGATGCTTGGTACAGGGAGACTGCTCTCAGGACTGATAAAAAGATGGGTGTCCCAGGGCTGGAGTTTGGGGCTCCCCACTGGAGCTAGGTGCTTGTAAGACCAGCCAGACTCTATGATACCAGCAGCCTAGAGGTGCCCAGCAGAACCCTGAAGGCCCATGAGAAATAGAAGAAGCTGGGGGCAACCTGGAGAGGCATCACCCTCCACAAGTGGCACCACTACCCCTTCCCATCCGGACAGAGAGAGGGAAGGAAGGAGATGTGGGGGTCATTTGGTTTCCCTGCCCAGCCCTCATCACAACAATTGCACCCCGGACGAAGCCTTGTCCCGCAGGGCTGTAGACAGAACTAGTGATGGATGAAGACGCATTTCAGGCCTCCAGGAAGTGTAGAGGCTCGGAGAAGGATGAGGTGAGGGGAAGAAAGACTCCATCTGAGGAAAGCACTTCTGGTTCCAGAAGCATGGTTACCCCGCCATGGGTGATGGCTCATATCCCCTTGCGAGGCCCAGGGGTCAGCTCCTCTGAGGCAGAACAGTTTGAAGTTAGCTCCTCTGAACCCCAGCAGGGTGGCTCTCTTGAGCAATGCCTCTTTTTTAGACTCAGGGCTTTGGCGCAGTCAGCCCACAGGGATGAGGGAGGGGAGGCCTGGAAGAGATTCAATGGTTTTGACTTTTCCGTGAGGAATCCAAACCACACTGGGAAAGCCAAACCCGGGACCATATTAAAGGCAAAGAGGAAAAGGAGGGGGAGGGAAATCCCCATTAAGGAAGCCGAGACCGCAGGGCATTAAAGGCTGCTTGTAAATGTCCTGCCGCCCCTTTATGGCAGCCTTGGCTGCTGCCACTCTTCAAAGCTATGGGAAGGCGCCCCAGAAATGTGATAAGCGTCATAGGGTAGACTACACTCCGACCTGAAACAGACCCAACCCAGCAAGACTTAACTCGCTCCTGGAAGTCAGTAAGAAGCTGGAGGCACTGTGCACGCAGCACTGTCTGGGAACTGAGTGTGTGACGGTCCCTGCCTGTGACCCCTGCTATTCGGGGCTGCACTGAGGAGGTGGGGCCTCAAACAAGAGTCCTGGCTCCCAGGCAGCTATGTGACCTCCATGCTGGGACCTCTGCACTGTCCACTGGAACCTAAGCTCGACAAACTCTTGATATGGAGCCTTAGTGGGGTTGGGAACCCAAAGGAGGCAAAGGGGAGGGACGGTGGGAGTACCGGCAGCTGCAGGGTTGCTGGGCTTACTTGACCAATCCTTGCAACAACCTGGAAGCAAGTATTTAAGATTTAAAACATTTAAAAATTATGTGTATGCAGAGGTCTATGTGGGAGGTATGTGCTGCACATTCACACACACACACACACACACACACATGCACACGAGTCTGACATTGCACATGCACACACAGAGGTCAGGTGAGATCCAAGGACAACCCTCAGAAGCTGAAGTCGGGCTTAGTGGCAAGCACCTTTATCCACTGAGCCATCTCAACCACCCTGGTCTCCTCTTGAGACCCTTCACTTACTCACACAGGCAAGACCCTTTCCAAATGAGGGCTGTATCCACAGGGTCCAGAGCTCAGGACTTGAACACATATCTTGGGGCGGAGGATAGAGCGAACCCACTCTAGGGAGTTACAGGAGAGCAGCTCTCAAATGTTGGGGTTACAGGTTTGTGTCCCTACAGTCAGTTTCTGAACAGCTGGGCCTTAAACCGGGGCTTTGCGCACGCTAGATGAGCACTTTGTCCAGCTTCCTGGCTTCTATGCTCAGATACAAACATGCAAAAGCCCACCGTTTCACCGTGGACTGAAACCGTAAGACTGGGTGCGATGGTGCGCGCCTGCGACCCCAGTATTGCCACAGCTCACACAGCTAGAGAGGAAGGGCTGTGGCATCATGGGCGTGTGTGTGTGTGTGTGTGTGTGTGTGTGTGTGTGTATGATGATTTTAGCACCCAAAGCCAGGCTTAAGGGGAAAAAAGTTTTAAAATTTAGGATCACCGTTGGGTGGTGGGGCACACCTTTTTAATCCCACCACTCAGAGGCGGAGGCTGGCAGATCTCGGAGTTCAAGGCCAGCTTGGTCTATTGAGCAAGTTCCAGGACAGCCAAGGTTACACAGAGAAACCCTGTCTTGACACCCCATCCCACCCCACCCCACCAAAAAAACAATTTAGGACCAGCAAGCTGGAGGTCAGCTATGACACCACTATGCTCTGGACACGCATGCTTTCTGTATGTAAACCTTCTCATCCACCCAGGGGGACGGACCACTGTCTAGAAAACGGATTAGAAGCAGCGCCATCAAACTAGGCGAGGCTAAGTCACTTTTCGGTGGGCTAGATGAGTCCTACAGAGCCAACCTTCGAATCCGTCTCCTTCCTTCCCTTCATCGCTCGCTCCCTGTTCCCCTGTATGGTTTTGAGCTGGGCCGTCCTCAAACCCCTGGGCT